GCAAGGCCGAAGGAGTCGAAGGGGCCGAGGTCATTGGTGCGATCTTGGTCGTGGGTAATGGGTGCAAAACGTGCGCGTGGGAACAGCGCGCGCAACACATCGAGGTCGTGGCCGGAGGATCCGAAGTGCTCGCAGTCGGAGAGGAGATGTTGGTCGCAGACGAAGCTGGCCATGATGAGGAGGAGTACGCACAGTATGGTGTGGATACGCGTATGGTCGAGGAAGGAGTGCCCGAAGTTTGGATGGTCGAGGATGAGACCTTGAGGACAAGGACATTCTCAAAGGGGGCGGGAATGATGCGGAAGTGGGTTCCGAGCCCCGACGGCAAGAAAGACCAAGAGTCAAGACGACCCGAGGAGGCTGAAAATAGGGGCAAAACGACACATGCATGGCCTAAAAGATGGGTACGAGCACGTATGCGGGGCACTCGAGCACATGAAAAGCAGCATGTACAAGGCAGTAGACAGAGGCGGGCACACGCGCATTGGCGTAGACACGGATGGCGCAACGGGACTACAAGCGATGGCGCGCCTTGGGCGTGGGTTGAACGAGGGGCAGCGCTGCGCGCACGGGGATGCGCGGTAGGCGAGCAGGCCGCGGGCGTTGGTGGTACGCACGGAGCTGTGGGCGACAGACGAGCGGAGCGCGCTGGGCGCGCGGTTGGTGTGTACGCGGGTGAAGGCCTAGGACTGGCGCGACAAAACACGCGCAAAGAAGCCAGCTGGGACGGGGCGTGCGCATGGGCGCACGAGTGCGACGCGGGCGATGGCGTATACCGCGTAGGCATAGGAGTGCTGGACGACGAGTACGGGGCGCATGGCGACACGTGCGAGGCACAATGCAGGAACGAGGCGGCATGCCTAATCCTCGTAGGAATAGGCAAGGCGCGAATACTAATCCTCGCAGGAATAGGAATAGCAGTTAAGTGCTGGAATGCGCGTGGGAGATCGGTGACGGGAGTAATCCTCGGAAGATCAAGAAATGTAACTGAGAGCCTATTCCTAGTAGGAATAGGAATAGTAGATATGGGCTCGAGGCATGGTCCTACAAGGAATAGGAATGGCGCATGTGGGGTGCGA